GATACGAAGGGAGGGATCTTACTTACTGTGGAATACCAAGGGCCAACTGGTAAATGTGGACAGTGTTAGATCTTAAAAAATCATAATTTTGTAACCATCTTTGTGAAGATGGTAGACAAAAATTATCAGTGGGTGCTAAATACAGAACATTTTGAAGAAGGGCAGGATATTTGCATGGTTCTAAAGTGTTTCTCCACAGAATGATCAAAATTAACATCACCAACGGGGAAACAGATGGACATTGTGTTTCTCCAGATATGACACCCTGTAAAGGACAGAATATCACCAGTGCAGTATTTCTGCTGAGAATGCATAATTTCAATTTTATCATGAGGAAAGACCAGACAAACACAAAATAAGGAATAATCTAGTAAAAAAAAAGGGGGGGGGGTCCTATTCTTCAAAATTGCTGATGTCATAAAAAGATGAAGAAAAGCTGGGGAAATGTTTCCAGATTAAAGGAGGCTAAAGAGATATGACACCTAAATTCAATACCTAAATCAAGAACTGAAGGGAGGAAAATGCTATAAAGGATATTATTAGAAAAACTGACAATATTGGAATGTGAAAGGTAGGTCAGATAAAAATATTGTATTAATGGAAATTTATGCAGTTGATAACTGTACTATGGTTAAGTAAGAGAATGTAGCTACATTCCCATTTGGAAACATACAATGAAGTATTTAGGGATAAAAAGCCATGATATGTGAAAGTTATCTTCAAATGGTTCTAAAACAACAAAAACCAGATAGATAGATGACAGGTAGGGAAAATAATAAAGCAAATGGGGTGAAATATTAGCAATAGGTGAATCTGATTAAAGCATACTATTTTTATTTTTGCAATATTTTATAAATCTAACAGGGAAAATAATAAAGCAAACAGGGTGAAATATTAGCAATAGGTGAATCTGATTAAAGCATACTATTTTTATTTTTGCAATATTTTATAAATCTAAAATTATTTTCAATAAAAAAATTTAAAAAAAGATATTTCTTAATTTAAGTGATTAATTCTATACCCAAACTTTTGGATTAAATGATTATTTATTTCAGGAAAGACACATTTTTAAAAAGCAACATAATTTTTTTTAAATAAAATAAGACATTTTTGTTATCGTAATTTAATGAGTTAAAGATACTGTAAACTGAAATTACTTATATTATAATTAAAATTTAATCAGTAAGAACTGTGTAAAGCAGTTTAATGTACCGAGCAAACACTAAGATTTATGGTAACTATCTTTTCTAAAGATGACTGTGGTGTTATGTAGGATTTACTTTAAAACATAAAGAGTTAGAATCTCAGAACACAAAATTGAGTGGAAGAAGTCAGAAAGAAAACAGAATGTATTTTGTGATTCCATCAATATGAAATTGAATTTTGCATAACTAATCAATGATGTTAGATCAAGATAGTCGTTTCCCCTGAGAAAGGTGGGTATTACTTGAAGGGCCTGAAGTGCATTATGGAACGCTGGTAGTGTTTTCTTTCTTCATGTGGATGCTGGTCACATGGATGTGTATATTTTGCACAATTTTATTAAGCTGTACACTAATGATCTGTATACTTTTTTTGCCTATTTGTTATACCTCAATAAAGTTTATGTTAACAGCAAAAAGTTTGTTTCAAGGGATATGTATACATTAATAAGAAGTTAAAAGATAATATATAACCAAATTTTTGTCCTATTTGGCATTAATCTCAAATTTACTTATGTAGAAGAAATGTCTTGGATTGCTTGATTCAGACTCTGTCTTTAATTTTATTTGGAAATTTGCAAAGATAACATAATTCTTATGTTATCTTGTGTTAAATGAGTAAAAACTTTAGAGTTCAAAGCTTAAAAAGAAAAATTTTGATAAGTTTTTTTTTTCATTTTCTTTTTCTTTTCCTTTTGAGTGAGGATGTGACCTAATGTTCAAATCTAATTACCATTATTCTAATGCCTAAACTGAGCTCTGCCATTATGTAAAGCATGCAGACCATCCAAAGAGATGAGCTGGTAGTGTGAGGTTGTCCTCATCTAAAGTGGAGAAATTTAACTACTTAGGAAATTCTTAAAATGTTTGATCCTGAAGCAAAATATCCAGGTTGTTTAGTTTGTTGCCTGTTTAACTGGTAGATAGGGTTTTCCTGAAATATTTTAAATGGTTCATATATGAAGTTGAAGAATATGAAGTTGAGTCGAGCTCATGGTATACCTTAATTTACATTTGTTATTATTTATTATTGTCATTATTTGTATCCCAACTTAACCACTTATTATGTAGCCTTTGGTTATTCAAATGTAAGTAACATTAGATTAAATTAAAATTTTAGTTCCTTAGTCACATTAGCCTCATTTTTTTTTAACTTAGAATCAATGTCTTTTTAAATTATTTTATTGAAAAATAATTGATTAAATATATTTTTGTGGTAGTGAGTTGAATATCAGCACCTGTATATAAAGTGTGATGATTAAAACTGTCCCGACCCACAGGATATTCAACGCAGACCCTGGAGGGGGGAGTGGGAATTGGATGGGACAAGAGACGTGAGAAATGGAGACAAGACAGTATTCTAATCAAGTCTCATTTATTAGCCAGAAGGTCACAGTTTATATAGACAGCAGGAGGGAATCAGCAGATAAGGAAGTGAGCAGTAGATGGTTTACTGAGAAAACCGCATGGCGGGTTGTTCCGGTAAATGGAAAATTCACGTTATCTATGGCAAGTTGCAAAGTTACCTACACCCATAGTGCACAGGAGGGTTGTTCCGGTAAATGGAAAATTCACGTTATCTATGGCGAGTTGCAAAGTTACCTACTCCCATAGTGCACACGAGGGGGAGGGACGGAAGATAACAGCAAACAAGGCTCTGAGGCCTCAAGGCAATAGCTGGGCAGGCTCTTTTGCTCCAGACAGGCAGGCAGCCGGGCTCTAATGGCTCCGGACATAAAACAGGATACATAGCATGTTTATAACCACAAAATGTAATCATTCCTTGTGTCCATTAACCAATTTTTCTCTAGCTCACCTCCCCCACCCCCTTTCCCACCTCTAGTAACCACAGCATTTTTCTCTCCTTCTGGAAGTTCAACACATTATTGTGATCCTTCCTTCCTTCCTTCCTTCCTTCCTTGCACTCCCACTTATGAATGAGGACATGAGGTATTTCTCTTTCTGTTCCTGGCTTGTTTCACTTAACATGATTTTCTCTAAGCTCATCCACATAGCTGCAAGTGGCAGAATTCCACTCTTTTTTATAGCTTAGTATTCCATTGTGTATATGTTCATTTTCCTTATCCAGTTGTCTGTCAATGTACATTTAGGTTGATTCTATATCTTATCTATTGTAAATAGAGCTGTGATAAACATTTCAAATATTCAATAGTCATATGTGACTAGTGCCTACTGTATGGGACAGAACAGATGTAGAGTATTTCTGTCATCCCAGAAAATTTTATTGGACAGCACAAATTTATATAATTAAAACAATACATTCCTCAGAGTACCTTTTCTTCTTATTAAATAATATTCTTTTTTGTACAATTATTAGCATTGTAGTGGTAAATCATAAATGATTTCTATATGATGTTTAATAATAATAGTACTATTAAAAATAAGATTGACCAGACACTAATAATAATAAATATATAACTTACATATCTAGTATTATAAATAAGGTATATATAGCCTTCTATAAATTCTCTAGGACTCTCCTATCCATGATTTCTTTTCCAAATATTTCACCATAAAATAATTCTAAAATTGTCATTCTAAAAATTTTCCCTTAAGTCATAGAACCAGCTTAATGTATTCTGCTCATAACTGTATGTAAAAACAAACAGAAAAATGCTAAGCAATTAGTTACCCCTTTTTAATTCTAAATGGTGGGAAGCTTTAACAAGTAGATCATAAGTGCCTACCACCAGGAAAACATCTGGTGAATCACAATACAGGATGATTAAAAACAAGTTAAATTACTATTCTAATACTTTCTAATTATTGTACAGTTTTAAGTAATTAGGATCTCTTTATGCATCTCTAAATTTATTTGTTAAAAGCTCTGAACTTTGATTTATCTTGTTGTCATTTGAGGTATTTTAGTTTGGTATTTTATGTTTATCTTCTTGAGTCTATATGTTAAATCAAAACCATAATCACATGGTATAGCTTATTACACCAAGACAATGGTTAGGTAAACAACTAATTCCATCCTGTTGGGTCTGCTGCCGGCGGCTGACCTGTACAGCCCTAGCCTCGTTCCTTCTGGTGAGTGAGCGAACGGCCCGGATTACTCTTTCCCTTCTGTCCCCTTTGGAAGGAGACGGGGGAAGAGAACCATGAAGAGAGGTGAGCACACCGCCGGTCCCCCAAGCAGCCCGGTTAAAGGAAACTCAGATGCGGCGGGGGTTCTGTCGAAGCAGTTCCGTTTATTAGCACACAAGCATTTGCTTTTAAAGGCAAATGGGAAAGGCAGGTTTTTTACATCCTCCAATCAGCTTAAGGGTTCTGTCTCAATGCCTATCTATTGCAATCATGCAGTGTTCAAGAGTACGGCCAATAAGGGCTAAGGCAAGGTTCCTGCAGACACTCCCACCCTACTTCCTCTCGACGCCATCTTAGGCTGCCACGTTAATCCACTTGTAATGTCACTTAAGGTGGTGTTAGTTTTTAAGGCCTGACACCATCCCTCAACCAATTTGGATCACAACCCAGAGTTGATTCCAGCAGACATGTCAATGAAAAAACATGATTTATAGACTCCATTGTGTCTATGTTCTTTGTATGCACAATTCAGTAGTCATTATCATTCTAATAACAACCATTCAACACTGTGGGCACAAGGTCTATAAATCTACATAACAATATCAAAAAAACAGACTTGTAGGAGGGCTTTATTGTGTTATTATTACATAAGAAACATCAGTCTTACAAACAAAAATAAGCCTATATATCAATATATATATTTTTTTCCTGCTTATTTATAATCTCTACTTTTTTTTGTTCTTCTAGGCTACTGACAAAGATACTGGCAATTATAGTGCCATGACGTACAGACTCATAATACCACCAATTAAAGAGGGAAAAGAAGGATTTGTGGTGGAAACATACACAGGGCTGATCAAAACTGCTATGCTTTTCCATAATATGAGGAGATCTTACTTCAAGTTCCAAGTTATTGCAACTGACGACTATGGGAAGGGACTGAGTGGCAAAGCAGATGTACTTGTAAGTAGATAAAACATGCACTACTAGGCAGGGGTCAGTGTTTTCAGCTTACAGAACTTTTGAGATTAATTTACAACAGGTCTTCTAAAACATAAATGTCATTAATTTTCATCCTAATTTTTTCTATATTGCTATAGTTTAAGGTAGAAACATTTACATATATATATTATTGCTTTATGTTGTTTTTTCTTACTTTTGGGAAATGCATCATCATATTTTTAATATATAATTGTCACAGCAGTGGTGTAAGCATTGGATTTGTATTTGCTTTGTAGATTTAATTTTTAATATACAGTTGGCTGGAGCTACATAACATTTTTAAATGTTTCAGAGTTGTGATGTAGAAATTAAAATGTATGAATTGTTATTATAGTTTAAATTACATTTAGCCTATTGTAATTGAGAAAACAAAAGGAAATGTTTAGGGACAAAATTATGGTCTAATATATGATTTCCTTGTTTTATCAAAATCCTCATTGATAATACTGATGATCTTGTATTACTTTTCTATCACTTAAGCTGTGCACAAGTTTAGTGGTAGATCATTTCCAAGGACAGTTTAATACTAACTTGTATTCAAAGAATTTAACACCAGTGCATATATTCTGTGGAATTTCTGCCAACTTGGTATAATGGGTTATTTGGACTTTTCTCTGATAAATCTAATAGCAATTATAAGTAGGGTTATTATTGAAATTATTTTTCACATAAAGACAGAGACAAGTATAACTCATCTTTTGTTCATTACATCTTAATAAATCTTCATCTTTCAGTTTTCCTCATTTAGTTCTCTGGACAAGTTTAAACTTCATATATATGCAGATATTAATGACCAAATATTTTTCTTCTTAGATAATGGTGAAAAGCAATCACTACGACTGTGGTGGGTATGAAGGTCAGAACAGTCCGCCAGCAACAATGCTCAGTTCTAACAGTTAAGCTGCAATAAAATAAAAAAAGCCAATCTAAGCCAAGAAGCTTTTGACATAGAAGATACTAAGGTTCACATAGATGTTTGATCAAATTAGGATCTGTAAACCTGTATAAGACAATGTCATTTCTCTTCCTGTTATTTAAGATACTCACATTATGGAGATTAAAGGCTAAACAATAAGATCACTGAACTAAATGTAATTAAAATATCATTAAAATGAACACAAGCATATATTTAAATTGATTACACTTATAAGTGAGGGTACTTCAAAAAGTTTGTGGAAAAATAGAATTAAAAGATAATATGAATCTTTCCATGAACTTTTTGAAGACATCCATGTGAAGTTTATAGGTTTTTCATTAGGACTCCATAACTTTTGTGTAGAAATCTTAAGATGTACTTTAAAATCCTCCAAAATATATTTACGAAGATAGAAATTCCATTCAAAGAAATCTCTATATTTTCTGGTTCATTTACATTCCCATTCTACTCTCTTCCCAGTCTAATACCTTCTCTTCATCCTTACTGTTGTCTGATTAACTAACATCCTATTTCACTGAAAGATAAAATTAAAACATTTAGATAGATAGTTATACGACTCCCACCACTAAATCTACCCAGTTACTAGGATCTACACCAATATTTGTTGCCTTCTTTACTGCTCCTTTAAATGAATTATATTCTTTTATCTGAAGCCAGTACCTCCACCTGTACAATAGATCCAATTCCCATTTCTTTTCTGCATTATCAATAGCAAGTTACCCCTTTTATCTGATTGTCCACAACCAATTTTTTTATTTCTGTCTTCAAAAAATAATAAAAGCCCTCTTTACCTATATCTTCTTCTAACCACCACTCCATTTCCATGTTCCTCTTTCCAGAAAAATTTCATGTTACAGTTGACTGTGATTTCTCACTATCTCTTCTCTATTAACCTTCTCTAATCATAGTTCCACTCCCAGCACTCATCCAAAACTGTTTGTGTCAATGTCACCAACTGCTTACATGTTAATAAATGCACTGGTAACTTCAGTCCATCTTATTTAAACCATCAACAACACGGGACTGATTATTCCCCTCACCAGGCTTCCAGGCTTTCTGCAGGCCACTATCCTCTCTTGTTTACCTCCTTTGTTTTTTGTTTGTTTGTTTGTTTTATCCTGGCCTTTCAGTATTGATGCTTCTCAGGGATAAGACATTAATTCTCTCTTCTATCTGTATTCACTAACTTGGTAAACTCACTCATCCCATAACTTTAAAATATTATTGACATTCTAAAAACTTTCAAACTCACATCTTTACCCCAAAACTCATTCCTGAACACAAGACCCATATATCTATTTGCACATGCAACAATTACACTTGAATATTTAATAAATATAACTATTTAATGTTTCCTAAACTGAACTCCTCTTCCTCATCACATTTATTCTACCTATTGTCTTCCTAATTTCATCTGATGATAAATCATCTTCGAGTTCCTTAGGAAAAAATTTCTTAACTCTGTTTTCTCTTAAACTCCACTTTGATTTATCTTATTATCATTTGAGGTATTTTAGTTTGGTGTTTTATGTTTATCTTCTTGAGTCTATGTGTTAAATCAAAACATAGGTCAAACGTCTATCATATGGCTTCACTAAACAGATACAAAAGAGGCTAAGAAATCTATTCTTGAAGTGTTCCCAGTAGAAGGACAGAAACTCCTGGATGAACAACTAACTTTTGATTATCAAATACTCATTTTACTCTTCCCCACTCATAGAACAGTCTCATTTAACTTAAACTTCATACCTGGATCTCAGGTGTTGTGTTTTCACATCCTTTTTATCAGTTCCAGAGGGAATTCCTGGTGGTCCAGTGATCTGAGAAACATACATAGCCAGTATGGATGAAACAGAATATCCAGCAGAAACTCCTATTTGAAGAGGGAAAGAATGGCAGATGCCCAGCAGTCACTAGTTCATGCCAATTATGAAATTTCCCTGAGTCTGTATAATGTAGTTCCCCAATCCTGGGGGTGGGAGAGTTCCATGATTAAATCCTCTTTCTGTCCTAGGTAGGCTTAGGCTTGGTTGTCCTGTGTGGCTGATGAATCTATTATCCTCTAATTAGTTCCTTGACTACTTTTATCCTCATTCATAGCTAATGGTAAGATTTGTGAAGGGTGCTGTCTTTGTAGTACACACAGCCTGAGACTTGCTTCTGTGATTTTTTGCATCTGCATCAGTAAGAACCTGGCAGAAAATTCATGCACATTCAAGTGGGATGATTTGAGGAGGGTTTAACAAAGGGTCTATTTATAAAGGAATGGGCAGAATGTATGCAGGGAAATTAGAGATAGTGCAGGATCTTGGGGCTAATAATAGCAGTTGTCCATTGTAGCCGGCAGGCCTGAAGAGGTGAGAGGAAACCCGTGCTTACCAGAACCAGGAGACAGAGAGCTGTGAACAGTGGACGGTCTGGCAAAACAGAGAGCCATGGCAACCCTGTATAAAGGAACTAGAAATGAGGAGTAATTACTCCTACTCATTTTCCTCCTTTCTCCAATATCATGCTGATGCTCCCCACTGATCATCCTGTCCATAACCCATGTCACCACCCCCAAGCCTCCTCCCAAAAAGTAGCAGAATTAGGAATGGCCTCAGCACCAATCCATGAGGGCAGCTCCTCTGCCTTGAGCGGGCAGTGAGAGGAGAGGACGGGAGAGCGTCAGGAACCAGACAATGAAACATGGTGATTGTACTTCTCGTTTAGATAAAATGCTATGGGTACTACTTGCTTTAGGCTATTTGTTTTTGACCAGAACATATATACATATTTAACCTTCCCTGGTCCACTGTTGAAAGAAAAAAAGAATAAAGAAAAAAAAAGAGATGAAAGGAAGGAAGAAAGGAAGGAAACAATTTCACAAGTCTCATATATATACTTCTAGAGATTTTGACCATATATTTTTACCACTAATGAAAGAAAAAACTTCTTTGCAACTTCTAAATCTTTAGGACCAATAAGAAAAACCTATGATAGGGCCGGCCCGGTGGCGCACTGCTACAGTGCGCCGCTTGGGAAGTGCAGTGACGCTCCCGCCGAGGGTTCGGATCCCACATACAGACCAGTTCCTGCTCACTGGCTGAGCGAGGTGAGGGGGCAACACCAAGAGTTGCGATCCCGTTGCCGGTCCCGGTCCGGTACGGGCGCGACACTGAGGGTTGCGGTCTGTTGCCGGACACGAAAAAAGACAAAAAGGGAAAAAAAAAAAAAGAAAAAGAAAAACCTATGATAATACATTTTCCTAATGATGAAGTTAATGTTTTTTGTAAAGAGACAATTAAGTTTTATCTTCATGTTTAAGGGACATTTAGGCGTTTGGTCTGAGACACCTATAACGAATTAGGAGCACAGAGTTAGAACTGCCAGTGTAAACTGCTTGCTCAGAGGTGGTAATCAGACAGTTGCCTGATTTAATACAGTCTTTAGATATGATTCATAAGGCTCACATAATGGAATGACATATTTCTTATTAGTTGTAAACATTTCACAAAACATTTTAGATTGCTTTTTCTCATGAAAAACTGAAAAAATTGGCAAATCTGGACCTTGTATTCACATGGCAGTAAACTGACTTCTTCAGTTGAGTTGTGTGCTCTGTGATTGACTGCAATACCACTTCATGGGCTATTCCCTGTCATTCCAGACTTTAACTACTTCACGCATTTAAGTTACCAGCCTGGCTCCTGAAGGCATTTGAGTTTGCGACCCCTGATAGAAGTATTTATATATAAAGAACTTGGAACCTATATAAAAATATGTAGCAACATAAAATTATGTCCTACTTTAGAACATACTTGAGATATATGGTGCTAAATATACCTAATCTACAGTATTCAATTCATGGTTCTGGTGCATATATATTCATTTAGGTGATTAGAATACTGTGTAAATGTACATGCAGGAAAATATATAATTTGACTCTACTTTTTTTTTATATCAGTTTTGGATAAGAGTAAACAGCACGAGCACGGGAGTCTAACAACTTGCATTTAGTCAGGGTCAAGTTATTACACATCTCTTTGATTTACAGTTTTTTTATGTTAAAATTGTAATGACAATGATAATTACCTGATATAGTTGTTGTTAGAATTAGACTTAAAGCCTATAGAGGACTGAGAAAAAAAGTAAATGGTATGATGTAAACACAGAATAAATGCTATTATTTTTCCTCCATTTTTCTGTATAACATGAAAGGAATTCACCATATGTTAGATGAATAGGACACATTCATCAACATTTGTTAAATTAGCTAATTTCAGCCCCATATATAAATTTCCATGTGTATATCTCTTTATCTACACAATATAAAGTTGGATAAAGTAGACATGAAGATTATACGATGATCTCATAGAACAGATAATTCTAACCAGCCATTTTTCAGATTCTTAGTCACAATGAATAAATGATCTCTCAAGATTTATAAAATCTAAAACACCTGTTTTTTTATTATCCTGAGTGTTCTTTAGTAACCAAATTAAAAACAAACAAAAATGATGCTTTTAATGTCACTGTAAATTACCAAGAAAACAAACATACACAAAACCAAAACTAGTTGAAATCTCTTTGAAATTTTAACTTCTAAAACAAATAGGTGATTATTCCCAGCCTGCCCAAGTTTGTCTCCAACATCTAATAGAGATCATATAATTTAAAAAAATTGTTCATGAATTAAATAATAAAAAAAACACTGTGTCTATGTATAGTAGGGAGGAAATAATGTTATTTTTTTGATTATTGAAATGCTATGTGTAAAATGTGTCTACCAAAAGTTTATGTATTGGAAACTTGATTCCCATTGTAACAGTGTTAAGAGGATGGGAAATCCAATTATGGTATCTGAAAGGTGGTGCCTTTGAGAGGTGGTTGGATCATGAGGACTCTGTCCTCATGAATTAATGGTCTAGTGGGTTATCATGGGTGCAGAGTGGTGGCTTTATAAGGAGAGTTCATGAAAGCGCTCTTGCCATTCTTACCATGTGATACCCTGCCTTACAAGGGACTCTATAGAGAGTTCCCAACACCAGATGTATCGACTGGACCTTGGAATTCCCACCCTCCAAAATGTAATAAATAAATTTCATTTATTTATAAATTGCCCAGTTTCAGGTATTCTCTTATAAGCAATAGAAAACAGACTAATACAATAAATTTTAGTGAGTAAAAATTAAATGAATTCTGTTTTTTCTTCTTTCAGGTCTCTGTGGTAAATCAGCTGGATATGCAAGTCATTGTTTCTAATGTGCCCCCGACTCTAGTGGAAAAAAAAATAGAAGATCTTACAGAGTAATGCATTTCGTTTACTTACATATGTATTTTCCTATGACTGTAGCTTTAATTGGATTACATCATTTTAATTATTACATTTTAAAATTATATTATTTATTATTAGCATATTCATTACTACAAATGGTGATTTTTCTTTATGCCCTTTACCCAACCTATCACTCCCCAAACCCTCCCTCCCCCCCAAACTCTAGTATCCTTTGGTTTGCTCTCTCCTTCTGCAAGTTCAGCGTATTATTGTGTTCTCTTTTTTTTCCTGTCTTTCCTTTCTGTCTCTTTCTCTTCCTTCCTTTTTTTAAAAGCAGTGTCTTAATAATAATTTAGCTTACTCTTTTTCAAAAATATATAGCTTCATTGGAAACGTGAAGATTCTGAGAGTATCTTCAAAAAAGAATGAAAATTAGAGGTGGATCTTATTTTTCAGAACACTTTGATTGATGTATCAACAAAACCTCAAAATTCTGCACATAAGAAATAGCATTAACCATTTGAATATATCCCTTGATTTTGTGGCTCTAAATTATTCTAAATGTGGTCCAGCTAGTCCAGGAAATATGTTATTTCTCGAAGTGATGTGTCTAGATAGCTAGAACTTATCTTTTAAAATCAAGTTAAGACAAATTGTAAGCAATATATATATTTAATTATTCTAAAATATATGGCATTCCCCTCTGCTTTCTTAACAGCATACACTAAGCATGGCTGAACATATTATTGTTGACCAAGTTATAGTTATGATTATTTATTAAGCTGCTGTTCTCTAACATTCTAATGCAATCAAGTATTACTAAAATATATTTGCTATTACACTGTTAACTAACCTAATCTACCCTGCCATCATTTTATAATTTTAATATTTGGCATTTATGTGCTTCTGTGTCTTCTATTGATTTCTGGTTGACAGAAGTCAGCTATCACTATCAATTTGCCAATCTCTAGCAAAATATCTCCACTTCTAAACTTCAAGAAGAAACTTCAAATAGTCAGATAGCTAAACTTTTAGTAATTATATACCAAATGAAATACAACAGGCACTCATTAAAGCATAAATGATTTTCCTATAAGAAAAACATAGGTGCTTTGTAACAATTTCAGAATATATCACAAATTTAACCTGTTGATGTCACATGAAATGTGAGGGAGGTGATTATCAATATTTTATGCATGAAATATCAATCATGCAGTGTCATGTTTACTTCTGCAAAAGTAGTTTATATATACTTAACCTTTATCAAAATAATAGCTGATTATACCTGAAAAAATTTTAGAATTATGCCCGACTCTTTGTGGCCTTTTTTTTTTTTTTTTTTTAAGCCCATCAAATTTAGCAGATTAGCCGCTTTATTATCACCTAGAGACAGGCTTTGTCTGACTACATTATCTAAAATCTCTTACCCTTTATTCTGCTTTAATTTTTTTTCAAAGCATTACATAATATTTTTATTCTATGTCAATTTCCCACTAGAATATAATATCCATGAAAGTAGGATTTTTTTTTTTTACTTTTACAATTCCAGTTATACATAGGCACTTGATGCGTTTTATTGAATGGACATTTTGTACAAACAAATTATGATGCCTTTTTTTCATATTGAGACAAAATTTATGAAACAAAACAGTCAAATATGATTTTGTAGAATTTAATAAGATTGATTGCCACTTATGTTTATATGATAATAAGAGTGAAAAAAATCAGGCACTTTTCAGGTCATGAGATTATTGTATCATTGTGAAAGAAGCTTTATCTTCACATAATATTGAATTTGAAACATGAACTTGGGCAAATAATTTAAATTTTTTCAGCTTCACTTTTACCATTTATTAGTAGAGTTAAAAAAACAAGATTTTTATGAGAACTAAATTATATAAGGCATCTAGGACAATGGAAATTATGAATATTCAATGAATGTTAAATATTCTATGTACATGGGGTTAGCAGCCCAAAGTCAGTAGGTTTAGGCAGAGAGATGCCAGGGATTTTGCTCATTTTATTAAAAGAGCATAATTTAGTAATGGAATGCAGATTATGGATTCAGGCGTACAAGTTTGAATTCTATTACAGTTGTGTGACCTCTGGGCAAGATAGTTAACACTTTGGGCCATACTTTCTCATCTTGAGAATTAGAATAACGATGTCTATCTTGTGTTGGTTTTAAAGAATTAAATATAAATTTGCCAGTGTAGTAAGCATAGGAGGCCCATACATGCTTAACTCCTTTTTAAAATTGTAGTAAAAATCACCTACTATAAACTTTACACTTTAACCATTTTTGAGTGTACACTTCAGTATTGTTAAGTATTTTCACATTGTTGTTCTCCATAACTTTGTCTTTTACAACTAAAATTTTATACTCATTAAACAATTCCCCATCTTTTCTTTATACACAGACACTGGTAATAACCAGTCTACTTCCTGTATCTATAAATTTGACTGCTTTAAATACATCACAAAAGCGAAACCATGCCATATTTCTTCTTTTGTGATTGGCTTATTTTACTTAGCAGAATTTCCTCAAAATTCATTCACATTATAGAATGCAATAAGATTTCTTTCCTTTTTAAGTCTGAATAGTATCCCATTGCACGTACATACTACATTTTATTTTTCCATTCTTCTTTCCTTAGACATTGGGGTTGCTTCCACCTCTTGGCTATTGTTAATAATGCTGCTATGAACATAGGTGTCAAAACATCTCTTCCAGACTCCATTTTCAATTCTTTTGAATAGATATATACCCAGAAGTGGGATTACTAGATTATATGGTAGTTCTATTTCTTAATTTGTTTGAGGAACCTACATTTTTTTTTCATAGAAATTGCACCATTATATAATTTCACTAACAGTGCACAAGGGTTCCAACTTATCCACATGCTGTCCATGCTTGCTGCTTTCTGTTATTTTATTTTTTATAGTAGTAATTATAATAGGTGTGTGGTGGTACATCATTGTGACTTTAATTTGCATTTCTCTGATGATTAGTGATGTTCAGTATCTTTTCATATGCTATTGGAAATTTCTATATCATCTTTGGAGAAATGTCTGTTCAAGTCCTTTGTCCATTTTTTAAATGGGTTGTTTGTGTTTTAGTTTGTTGTTGAGCTGTAGAAGTTCTTTATGTATTCTTGTATTAACCCCTTATCAGGGGTTATGATTTGCAAATATTCTCTCCCACTCCATAAGTTGCCTTTTCACTCTGCTGATTGTGTCCTTTAATGAGCTAAAATTATTAAATTGGATCAGTCCCATTTGTCTACTTTTGATTTTGTTGCCTGTGCTTTTGGTATCACATTCAATAAATTATTGCCAAACTCAATATTAAGAAAGTTTACTCATGGGCCAGCCCGGTGGCTCACTGCTACAGTGCGCCGCTTGGGAGCGTGGCGGCGCTCCCGCTGAGGGTTCGGATCCCACATACAGACCGGCCGCTCACTGGCTGAGCGAGGTGCGGGAGCAACACTGAGGGTTGCGATCCGTTGCCGGTCACAAAAAAAGACAAAAAGGAAAAAAAAAAGAAAGTTTACTCATAAGTTTTCTTCTTGGAGTTTTATAATTTGGACTCTTAAAGCTAGGTCATTAATCCATTTTGGATTTTTGTATATGGTGTAAGATAAGGGTTGAACCTCATTCTTTAATAGTTGGTATTCTGTTTTCCTAACACTAGTTGTGGAAGAGATTGCCCTTTCCATGCCTGATTCCTTTTTGTAGATTTTTTTTTAATCTATATAAATTTGGAGTTTTCTTAACAGAAATATTCCTGTTCTTTTTGAAATCTACTTTAGTAGATGAAGTGGTAGTGATGAGAACTGAACTGCTGAACCTGATTCAGCACTGTGAAGCTCCACATGTTCACCCCATTAGTGTCTAGGGGTGAGTAATGAAAACACATACATAACTCAGGTAGACAGCAGAGTGCTAAAGTTAATTAAATGTAAGAATTTATTGTTCCAGTGACTAGACTAATCAGCACATTTATTCCCTGTGAGCATTCGTAGGTGACAAGTCACATCCCCATCAAAGCCATTTTCTGTACTGCCCATGAGACATCCCTATCTTATGAAGTGAAAAACTTGAATTCCATGTGATCAACGGTTTTATTTTTTCCTTTAGGTAGACCCAAATTTGAGGCTAAAACATAATCCAAAGTTTCCTTGGTGGGCATGAAATCAGTACAAATTGGGAGACTTGATAAAAGGAAAAATTATATGATATATACATTTTATAAACACGACAATTTTGCAAAGATTGGTACACTTTGATGGCTATGAGCACAGAGCCTGGAAAATAGAATGTTTGTAGTAAATCTTAGCTGCTATAATGATAATGATTAATTCTCACTTCCCTGGAATGGGCTTAAATGGCCCTACTGGAATTTTAATGGTACTTTTATTATTTTATGCTTATAAAATTGACCACCTAACTTCCTTTGGTAATGAAACATATCCCTTTTTAATTAGATTAATGTATTCAACAAATTCCAGTGAGGATCTAAGTTCCCTACAGGTAGCCTTGCATATCTACTCTCTGAAGTATTTTAGGATGATTTTAGAATTTAATTTTTGTGAGCTTTGTGTTTCTTTTACTCATAAATTCTTGATTTTAAGGCATGATAAGAAACACCTGTAAGGATCATCTTACTATAACCAACAAATAATTTGCTATAGAATCTAAAGAAGAGACTAAGAAATGTTGTCATTTCATGTCCTTTCCCTTCTCCTTCCACTTCATCATGAAACCCAAATGAATAAAAGAAATTCGGGGTTCTAAAACTTAAATCCTTGAGAATCTGTAGAAAAGTCATTTTTATTTATTTATTTTTTTTTAATTTTTCTTTTTTCTTTTTTATTTTTATTTTGTCAATATGCAATGTAGTTAGTTATTGTGTCCCATCACCAAAACCTCCCTCCCTCCTCCCTCGCCCCCCCTCCCACCCAGATGTGTCCCCTCCATTTTCTTGTAAGAGCTTCAAAAAAAAAAAAAAGTTGAGGTAGAAAAGTCATTT